ATAGGCTTGATGCATTCCTCCACTTCAACCATCCAACTTGAATTCTGCTGATAATATCCCCATCTATTTCACCATCACTCTGAACAATAGATCCAAGATATCTAAAACGTGTACTCTTATTAATGAATGGGAAGAAGCCGAGAACAACAAAACCATCTTAAAAAAGATAACAAAAAAGAAATCCCCAAAGCCTCAAAAATCGTGAAAAGCCTAGACTCAAATCATTCTGATCTCAGTCATTATAGAGTCATCAAATGTAAGACCCCTAATTGTCTGAAGACCATCCAAGGGGGTGCATGTGGAATGGGAGACATCTTCATCAATGGCCAAAAATTTCCTAACATGCCAAAATAACATAATCCATGATTCATGAAGGCATACAGCAGCAGATAGCATCCCGAATAGATTTAGCAACATAACACAGTTATATCAGTTCCAAAAGACATCTAGAATTCCTCCTCTTGATGATTTTATCAAACACAGATCTCTTGATTTTGAGGGTAATAGTAATAAAAAAAATTTCTTGTAACCAAACCTTTTATATTCCTTTATCTAAATAAAATAAATTGAGCAACAAGTAATCAAAAGGAACAAGCTTTGAACAGGTTGGGAATATTTTTGGTCATTGATCCATTCGAAGAGGTGCAAGATTGTAGGTCTAAGGAGAAGAGCTCTAGATTCCGAAATTAAGACATTCAGTATGAAATATGAGTAGTTACATTTAGATCCTAAAGTCTAAGCTCTAGAAGAATCCTAGGATAGATCCTAAGGTCAGGATTCTAAGAAGATCCTAGGGTTCGAATTGATTTGGAAATTAAATAGATTTAAAATCAAGATTAGTTCAAGTGACCTCATAAAAAAAATGAGGTCAACAATTACATGTTAGAACTATAATAATGCCCCGCTTATTCAATGCATCAGCAGTTTTCAAGCCTCCAACTATAAATAACCAAGAAAATATAGAATATATCAATACAAACCACTTATGCAAAATCATTTTAGACCAACTACAAAGGGGTTGGTTTTTGTAAAACTCCTTTATGAATAAACCAAATGAACTTTCAATTGAATTTCCCCGGGTTAAATAGGAAACTGAACTATCTAGAATGGGGATATATTTGATCACGTTGATAACGAACAATGGCATGTAATCAGGCAAGCTCCAATTAAAGCTCATTATAAGATTTTTGACAAGAAAACTATGTTCATAATCCTGCAAAAGATGGCAACCATCCGAGATGTCTGCAAGACAGATACAATTACACCAGTGATCCCAGAGCATAGATATTGGGGCTGACGGGGTAACCATGAATTGAAAATAGTGCGTAACTTCTACAGCCATCCTACAAATTGATTTCCAAAGTTGGTGGCATGGGATGGGGTAGGCCGCCATGGAGAATAATATCTATATTTTAACCAAGTAGAAAGTGGTAATGTACAGTTATACATTCGACTAATCACAGAACAGTTAAAGGCAAAATGAAGTGCATATAAAGAATGTAATCCCAACCCACCTAAAAGTTTAGGCTTACAAACTTGATCCCATGAGACCATTCTAAGCTTTCTGGAGTCCCTAGGGTCTCCAAAAAATAGGAAGCTAGAGGAAACTTTATTTACAAATTTAATTACTGCTTTAGGCAATATAACACCACAAATCCAATAGGCTATGGAGTTAAGGATGGTGAATTTCAAAAATTACAACCTACCGGCCATATATAAGAGATTAACTTTCCAACCTAACAGCTTATTAGTAATATTATCCATCAGAGGTAAAAAAATCCACTACTTTTTGCCTATGTAAAGACAAAAGGATGCCCAAATAGTTGATCTGAGTGCTCACATGAGCGATGGAGAGACAAGTGGAGATCCCATCTTGATTTGAATACTCCTAGGAATCATGACCGAGCTTTTATCAAAATTAACATGAAGATCATATGCTTTGGCAAAAGTGTTGAGAATATTGGTCGGTTTTTTATAATTTTCAATTTTAAGATTCTAAAAAACCAGCAAATCACCTATGCACAAGAGGTGTGTGAGAGTAAAGCCATCAATATTAATACCTATGAATCCACCATCATTAATGAAAGTTGAGAAAGCATTCATAATCATACATAATAGGTATGGACTAAGCAGGCAACCTTGCCTCGACCAACAAAAGAAGGGAAGTAATCCTCAAGGGCACCATTAATAACAACTGAGAAATTTACATCGATATCCAGCTTTGCGGATATCCAGCTTAGCACAGAAGTGTTCATTACCCCCCCTTATAGCAGGCAATAGTGTGTAGTTCATTTGCAAAGATGATATTGTCCGTAGAGACTCTAAATTTTATGAAACTAGCTTGATTAGCAATAACAATCAAAGGCATGATAGGTTTAAGTCTGTTAGCTAAAATGTTTTCTATGAATTTGTAAAAATTATTACATAAAGCTATGGGCTTAAAATTAGAATAAGAATTTGCATGTTTAGTTTTGGGGATAAGAGTAAGAGCAGTAGCTTTTACTCATTTTGGGAGATAGCCTTTGGTGAAAAAAGACATTACTACCATACACACTGTGGGGCCAAGGATATGCCAACCAGATTTGTAAAAGTAAAAATTATAGCCATCTGGACCAGGGGCTGAGGAAGAGGCTCTAGAGAAGATTGCTTTTCTGATTTCATCATTAGTTACAAACTAAGTGAGCGAGAAAGATAAATGAGTTGGGAGTGTTTTATCGATCGGGAAGATTTCCATGTCTTTGTATGTGGGAGGAGAAGGGCTGTAAAGTGCTTGAAAATGGTGTATAATAGACGAGATGACCTCATACCTAGAGGTATGAGGAAAAGTATAACCCAAGTTTATAGCTGCTTTGGTGTTACTCGGCCTACTTTTGATTTTGGCATAAATAAATTTCATATCATCCTCCCCACGAGTGATCTAATTAGCTTTGGCTTGCAGATTGGCCCATGAAGCAAGCATATTAGAGAATTCTGAGATTTGCAAATTAATTGCTTTAATCTTTTCCAAATAGTTTACTTGCATCTAATGAAGCTTTTCAAGATGAGTATTAATGATATAAGAATTGGCCCAATTCTCCTTCTTTATTGCTCCTTCCAGCTACTTAAGATTGTTACATAAATGAACGATTGGATTACCTGAAGTAGGTTTAGAAAATACCTCAAGCATTAGAGCCCAATACCAATCAAACTTTATCCAAAAGTTTTTAAAAAGGAATATGTGGTTGGAAAAGAACATAATTTTAGAATGCATAATAATGGGGTTGTGGTCAGAGTAGGAGGGGCTTTGAAAAGAACATAAAGAGCTCGAGTAGGCCCTCCTCCGATCCTCATTCGCAAGAGCTCTGTCTAGTTTTATGTGAATAGGATTATCTATACACTGGCTAAACCAAATGTATTGGCTACCCATCGACTGCAAGTCCATCAGACTAGTGTCAAAAATCATGGAGTTAAGCTCCCAAAGATAGCTTTGTGAGAGAGGAGAACCTCCCACTTTATCTGACACGAATCTATAGCAATTATAGTCGCCATCAGAATCCAAGGGATGTTCTGAGGCGAAACAATTTGCCTAATTTGATCCCATAAATCCTTCCTCTTTGCACTATTGTTTGAGGCATATATAACAGAGAGTTGAAAAGGGGTGTAACACCAGACAGAGAAAACACTAGAAATAAGCTGACTGGATATGTAGGAAGGATAGACGTTCAGTTGCTAGAATTCCACTTAACCCAAATGCTGCCAGATTTGAGAGGTTGAAGTTATTACAGCTGTCCTCAGATGTAAAGACATAATATGCTAGGTGAAATAAGGGGTCTTGCAGGGAGGATGCATGTATCCTATTCTCCAATATATATAGCATATCAAATTTGAAGGGCTCAATCAAATGTCTACAATAGAGCACTTTATCAGGGTTACTAAAGCCCTTGATATTCGAAACTGCTATATGAGGCAATGACATTAAGTTTTAGGGGATGGGGAGCTTATTGGCTTGCATCTCCCAGTTGATTTTTTGTGCATTGTTGTATTGACTGGTTGTTGAACAAGTTCAAAACTCGGCTGCTAGCTCAATAGATACAAAAGTGTTTTGGTTGTCAACTTGCTGCTGAAGAATGTCAAATTTATTTGGAGAAAGAACCTCAGAAGTGGATGTCGTGTCAAGCATGCGTGGTGTGCTGGATGATGATGTTCCATCTTCGGTGGGAGAATTGAGGTTCAGGATGATGATATTTGTTATTGTTGAGGCAACAATATGAGGTATGGAAGGTTATATAGTATTGGCTTGAGGGGATTATAGAAGAAAAGAAGTGTTACAGATATGGGAATGTTTCTGATATTTGTTTGTTTAGTTTGTAAAATTTTGGGGTTGCTATTTGGTATGGGAGGTGGGAGGAGTATTGATTTTTGAAACATTAGAAGAGGGTGTTGATGAGCCAGGTTGATTGGGGGTTATGATATCAAATGAAATAGTCCAGCCTATAGTGACACGACTCCTAGGTTTTTTTGCTAGAGCTTCAACCTCTAGCATGGAGCTCCACTGCAGTGTTATTGCCAGGTTGTTTGGGAGGAGTAGGCTTTGAAGGACAATAAGATAGAATAATGAACAAGGGACTTACAAAATTCACATGGAGATATCCGCCATTCATACTGGACATTTAAATGAAATTCTTCTCCGTCCAGGGTGATAGGGATTTTTATAGCTTCACTATCAACTTGCACACACATTCTAGTTCGAGCAGCTCAGCTCATTTATACCCCTTATGCCCTAATGAGCATATCAAATGTGCTAAATTCAATAGAGCATCATACATGATGTACTTGCCTAATGCAAATATATGCACATAACACATAATTTTAACACAAAGTAAACTAAGAATTTGTTTGAAATAATTTTCTTACTTCTTTCTGCAACACAACTTTTTAATTAAAAAAAAAACTTTTGAAAATGAATAAAATAAGCGAACAAAAGTTGTCCCAAACAAAACCTAACACTTACCATCAATTACTAGAATCAAGAACCATTTCTTGCCCATTCACTTTACTTAAACCTTTTGTATTGGAACATAATTTGAAAAATAATAATAATAATAATAAAGCAAACCAAGTTAAGTGAGGCCAAAGCAACAAGAAGGTAATAGAATTCACAATGAACAACACAGAAAAGTAATGCGCTTTGTACTTCTATCAACTAATTACATATTCACCACTAGCTTGGACTTCCTTGACCTGCTTCTCATACTCATCTTCCTCCTCTTCCTCTTCCTCTGCCTCTTTTTCCTCCTTTTCCTTCTTTCCTTTGGTTTCCTCTTCCTCGTCTTCTTCAACCCATCCTGGAACAACAGGAGGGGTTGAGGGAGGAAGATTCTTCGCTTCCTTAACAATCTCCATGATGTCCTCAACGCTCTGAAGAGAAGAGGTCAGCGCGCTGGTATCCCTCTTGTAATACACTGCCTGTGCTATTTCAGTTAGCTCCCTCGGTAAGTTCTTCAAGAACCATGGTTGTTTCTTTATCTCGTTTATAGTTATCCTCTTCAAGAAAGGAAGAAAAATACTCAGCGTTTCATATCTAATTTGGAAATGTTCAGCAACTTCAATACATCTATTGAAGATTTCAGATAAAATTTAAGATGTAAAAAACACCTTAGTGGGGTTGGGGACAAAGATCCGGGAGAGAAGATGCCGACAGTCCTGGGATATGTGGACATGATCAGGTATCTTGTACTGTACTGACATGATTCTCTGTAGTTCAAAATTCATTGCAACAAAATTTAGGTATAGATCTAACAGATCAAATGATGTTAATTTCCAACGTGATTCTCTGTAGTTCAAAATTTATTGCATTAAATTTAAATTTTATTTAGGATAATTTTCTTAATGCTTTCTGAAATGACTTTTTAATACAAAATTTTTATACTAAAAAATTAATTTAGAAAGCAAAAAAAATGTGTCAAACGAAGTCTAAGTTATGCATCTAACATATCTCAAATGATGTTAAATTCTCATGCATGACAGTGCTATCCTATGCAAAAAATATCATGATTTTGAAATAAATAAAAAACCAACATCAGTGGAATTAAGTCTTTACCCCAATGGTTTTTCTGAAGTTTTTGGGATCGTCCGGATCTTCAAATGGGTAAGCTCCCACCAGCATGACATACAGAGTTACTCCGCAGGACCAGACATCTGCAAGCTGCAGCAGAACTCAGTCATAATTTATGTTAATCACATAGCTTAAAAGCTCAAAATGAAATACACTAAGGCTTTGTTAGGGGCGGCTTTCTTACTGCTTTTTAAAAAGCAGCTCTCCCGTAGAATTTTTTTTATTTTGTACTAAAAATTTATTTTAAGAAGCAGGAAAAAAACTGTCCCAAATGAAACCTAAGTTCATTTATAATCAAGGATTCCGCTGATATCATAAAAATCATTCCTTCAAGTACAACAAGTATGAATCTCGGTTATCTATTCGGATGAAATTAGAAACTTCCAGAAGAAAATGCTGGCCTAGTACCATAAGAAAAAAGGTACTTCGAAGACTTTCAAAGTTGGTAAAGCTTTCTGAAATGAGGGCTGCTAAATCAACCAAATACAGAGGCGGAAATAAGCATCTGAGTCATTAAGTATGTGGATGGTATGGTAATTTCAATCATATCTAATTATTTGGTAATCACTTTCGACATAAGTTCAGCTCCTATAACTTTCTAATTTTTGAAAAGAATTCAAACTGATGATGATTTCTGATTAAGGGATTGTGAATGTCATTAGATAGTCAGAGAGATCAAGGATGAAATTGGCTCCAAGTTCCGGCTAGTTCATCAAAAGAAAAGCAGAATATAAGGGCTCCATCCAAGGCAAATGAAAAAAGGTTGAAGATTCAAGCTGTTTTACTTGCTTATGGTGAGGGAAACTGACCATTGAGTGAATAAGGATCAAGAGGGGAGGAGGGGAGACAACACAATATTTTTTTAAGAGATTTGACAATTTGTCAGAATCTCTCTTTTTTTTTTGAATGGGGTATCGACCCGCTGCCACATCAGCTTGCGAGATGCTTGGCGGCATCATTAGTCCCTCGGCTGACCTAGAGATGGTACTCACACCCATGAACCACCTGGCCCGTGCTTAAGAGGTCCCCACCTAAGGGCCGTTGCCGCCCGAGGGAATCGAGCATGGATTGGGGAGCTCCCAACCGCACTCGCCTACCAACCGAACTAAGCATCGGTGGGTAGATAATCTAAGCTTAAGTTTGTCTCTCTATTGTGTAACCCCTTGAGAAGGCTGAGTGGATATTTATTAATATAGAATTTTCTGTAGGTGGTTTCAGAATAAAAAATGGTGCAATGGCTACAGCCGACAGGATATGAAACAACAAAGGTAGTGGTCCATGTTGCAAGCTAGGAAACAATCACATGCAAGGCGACAAGCATCAGAGAGTCAGATGATTGAGAGATGACTCTTGAAAGCACAGGAGATTTGTGGTAGATAGACACTGCAATGTTGCAGGGAATATAACTAATGTGGTTATCACTCCATACATAAAATGTCTACATAGCTTCTCTCGACTAGCCAAAGCTCGTGGCGATACTTGAGGATGCACCAAGACATAAAGAAGAAATTGTCAAGAGTTCAAGGTGCGAATCCGATTGGTCTTGCTGAGGGCTAATCTTGTCGACAGCTCCTAGGCGATCCAACCAGTGTATAATAAGATGAAAATTGGGCAACAATCTTCAAAATATTCAAAAAGCCTCCTACAATACAACCGATAAGAAAACTAAAATTACTTGGCATTCTGCAGGGCAAGGCTAGTTAATGAATTGGGACAAGACTAGCGACTTCTGGACCATGTCAAGCTTTGACTCTGATCAGTTTGGGTTTGTAAACAAATCAAACCATAACTCAAATTATTATTAATGTGAATGGCTCTGATGAGGCACATAGGATTGTGTGTTGCACTTTCCAGATACTCTAAAATCATATAAATATGCACTTTTGAGCGGCTTTGCACACTCCATTAGCCTCGATTTTAGACTTCATCAACATAGTGGACTCAACCCTCCAAAGATGAGGTCCATCTCGGGTAGCTGGTACAAAGATGCAGGCTTATGACGTCGATAGTTGTTATGAACTTTGAGGAGTTGGCGAAGATGGACGAGGAACAATAAGAAAAAATTTGTGCCTAAAAGCCCAAGTTAGAGAGGCACACTCAGACAACGATCGCCCTAGAGTCACTCCAATGAGACTACAACTGATACTTTCACAATTATCAGGCAGTCGCACAAAAGCTCAAAAGGCTTGCATCTTCCAACCAACCACGGTCTGCTGTTATAATCCAACCAAAGATGATCCTTTAAAATTCTTGACCATTGAAGGGGAAGTGACATAAGAAACTAATCAAACAGAATTACAGGAATTGGTCTTGTGGTACTAAGAGATTAAGGATTGGATGCAGATGGACGTAGAAAATAAGGACCAAGTGTTGCCTCCAACCATAAATGAAATCTGGTCACAACTATAGCTGATTGAATCTAGCAATTAGCTGCCCACTTCGGATCATCTGGATGATCTCTCAATCTACGGGGTAAGCCTTATCAGATGAGATCGCGGTGGCAATGCCTTCACCTTGGTCAAGGAGGTCCAAATTAAGACAACAGGAACCATCATCAAGTTAAATGCCTACTAGGGTAAGCAAGGCGTTCGGTAGGAAGCTCCATATAATGTTGCCTGGGGTGAGATATCATGGCAAGGGCACTCATTTTATAAACCTTAGAGATTGAGGTTAGCCAACTATGTCTGCTCATGGAGAAGATGGAGTTGGTGTAAAAATTAAATCTTGTTATCAATGAAATTTTTCTTTTTGAAAAAACGTGAATATCTTGCACTGTGCTTTTTCGATTTGAACATGTTGGAGATATGAAAGTGTAATATAATTTCACCCCTTAGAGAATTGATTGATTTGGTGAGAACCAAGGGTGGATATAAACTCTTTGTTTGACTTACCATATTAAATACTTCACAAAAGTGGGCAACCTGCTCAGTTAAATGAGAGAAAATCTTTACGTCCATTGTAAGTGTAAAGGAGAACTTCATTATCATAAGGGAAGCATTGCAGAACCTCCCAATTTTCAAACTCAGCTCTCTCATATCACAATTTAGAAAAATATCTACAATTGAGTTCATTTCTCTACCATGTAACTTCTTGTGAAGCCCGAGGAGACATTTAGAAGCAATGGACTATCTTTAGGAACTTTCAGAATGGATAGTGGTGTTGATGTAGTCAAGAATTTACGTTTTATGTATTTTTATTTTTTCATATTATTGGACGCTATGTATTTTATTTTTGTATTGCCCTATGATGAAAAACAACCAATGACCAAGCTTGGTCGGTGGTCTCAGGTTGGTTCATACCATTGTCATTTCTTTTTAGTTTGATCTTGCTTCCTTGCTCCTTATGGGCTACTTGGGTGGTTAGTTGTGGGCTATTTTTCCTCATTGGGCTTGACCCATTTCCCCCTTTTGGCTGTTCGGATTTCCCCTTTGCTGATTTGGCTGCTTGGGATTCTTCCCCTCTCCTTTTTTAGCTGTTTGATTTTCCCCTTTGTTGATTCTTATGCTTGATGCTTTGACTTCTCCTTTGAGAGCTGATTTGGATTGCTTTTATTGGCTGAAATGATGGCTCATTTAATTGAACAATTAAATACTTTTTCACCTCCTTGCCCGATATAAAGTGGTTGAAACTATGTTGTAAAAAATAGTTTTTGGTAAGAAAAAATCAACCTGGGGGTTTCTTCATGGCTTGCGAGCTAGTCTTTCCCCTATCTCCTATTACTTTCTCTCGGTTTTCTTTCTTCTTCTCTCCACGATTTCCCTTCCACATGTATCTTTGTTCTCTAAATATTGTGAGTTATGAGGGGGTGTTGTTATCCGGTTCAGTTGGTATTTGCTTGAGAAGTGCAAATTTGTGTCAGATCAAATTTTAGTGGTGGATTACTGGCTAGATCTTTCCTTTGAGCACATTTCCCTAGTTTGGTGTATTGCATGTGAGGTGACCATTCGTGGTTGTTCTGATGGTTATTATTGTTTATGTGTTTTGTATATTTCTTTCCTATGTGATTTCCTAAACAGTTTCTAACTTTTATTTTCTACTAAGTCACTCTCTATTTGTGTTTGTTTGTGTTATTGAAAGGAAGTTTCTTTGTTGTGTGCCTAAGTATTGTCCTAAAAGGTGTACGAACTTAGGCTGCATCAGATATGAGAGCCATGGGCACCCCATTAAGTGGTCGGAGCAGGCACTGATGATTTTGGATTCAACAGAATAAGAAGGTGGTATCTTCTAAAGTTTGAGAGGGAATTTGATCGGGTCTTGCTGGGGATTGATCATATCAATAGCTTCGAGGTAATCCAACAATGAGAAGATGATAACCGAGCAATGTTCTATAGACTATTTGAAATGTTTTCTCCAACTTAACTCGCAAGAGAAATAGAACTGGTTAACATTTTGTAGTACAACATCAATCAATGAATGGGCCTTTAATAAGCCCCATATGAATCACGCTTTAAATCTAATCAGTTATGGTTCACAAGCCAACCAAACCAAAATTCAAATTATTCAATACATGAATGGCTCTTATGAGAAGCATAAAATGAAGTGTTATAACCCTAAAGACAATCATCCATGAAATAAAGTAAATAACAAGCATCATTACATGTTAAAATCATAAAAGCCATCAAAATCATAAGGTAAGATTGTATGAGAACAAGTTAGTAAATCAGATATGTATTTAATGCAATTCTGACGAGTATTGGAAACTTTAGGCCTTCCATCCAAAAAATAAACCCCACAATCTGAGATCTATAAGATATTGATTTTGGTCTCATAAGCATGGCATGGTCAATGAAGGAAGCTTAGCCTCAACTCACCAGTTCAAAAAAGAAAATCTAAGCCCACATTTACCCCTCTCCTATGTTGAAGGTTCGCGTATTAAAACATTCAAGAAATCTTCAGGCAAAACGTATTTCCAGTTAGTCAAGGAACAATATAATCACCGTTGGGAAATGAATAATAACAAGAACATATTCAATTTGTTGCCAGTTCAAAGAAGAACAGCCAATAAATATAGGAAGATATTCAACAATTAATTTTGGAACTTTTTTCTTTTACATCTTTATTAGAAGAGCTATCAATTAACTAATTTTATGGGAGATAAGGATCCTCTCGAAAAAACCAGTGATTTAGAAAATCACAACCATTGAAAATAAATTTGACAACTAAGATTGAAGAAATATAGTAATTCACTTTTTCGAAAAAAAAAAGTTGCAAACTGTCAAAAATAGATAACGATAAGATCCAGTAAAAATGCCAGAATGGTCCCATGACAAAGCAAATTCCATAATCAGCCATCAAAGAAGCTCTGAAAACTACAACTCATCACTCGTGCCAGAAACCCATAGGCAGAACACATGTGCCAGCCCTTCAGCGGATCCAAAAATCAAAAGCTGATAAAGTGGAGCTCAAGCGTGCAAATGCAAAATTACCAAAATAAAAAATAAAAAAAGCTCACCTTGCCGTCGTACTCCCGGCGAGAGAGAACCTCCGGTGCGATGTACGCCGGCGTGCCTACTGTTGACTTTGGCCTCGAGTGATGCAGCAACGACTGCTCAAAGAAACATTTTTCCCTATTTTAGAAAAACTCGAAAGCAAATTGATGAAAATTTCAGAGAGAAATCAAAATTTTATAATGAAAATTAGACCTTGGAGTAGCCAAAGTCGCAGATTTTGAGCCGCGGAGCAGGGTTTCCGTCCAAAAGAGTGTTCTCCAGCTTGAGATCACGGTGGCATATTTGCTGAGATCAATTAACAGAGATTATGCAATCAAACTTAAAAAATTATAAGAAAAACTTTGTTTTTGTAAGGTGAGAATTTACCATGAAGTGGCAATAACTGACACCAGATATAAGTTGTTGGAAGAAATATCTAGCCTGTATGGTAAAATAGCAATAGCTAGTGAATCATCCATATGATTTATGATTTATGATTTATGATTTAGGATCAATATTTATATGTATTTATTGTTTGTTGTTCGTCTAATATGAATAAATAGATATATAAAAATTGGAATTAGGTGGATTTTTTGGGGAAATTTGGAGGTAAATTGTGCAGAAAGTACTTCATCTTCGCTGAATCTTCCGGCGTTGCAGATCCGCTCGAAGAGCTCACCACCGGCGGCATACTCCATAATGATCACAAGGTGCGTAGACGTCAGCGCTACCTACCAAACATAAAAAATCTACACGATTTCAGACGAAATAGAGATACAGGAGCACCAGCCAACAAAAACCCTAGGCTACGTTTGGATGCTGATATTTTGATTGTATGGAAACGAAAAACAAATGTTGAAAAGCTCAAATCAATAGCTGCAGCTTAATTAATCAACCAACAAACTGTACTATTTTCATTCATTTTTCTTCACTTCAATCCAAACAAACCGAAAATTCGCAGCTGAAATATCGATTATACCTCCTTGAAACGGATGATGTTGGGGTGCCGGAGAGAGCGATGGTTAATAATCTCCCTCGCCACATTCTCGTCAATCTGGGACAGTACATAGAAGGATAAGAAAATCGCATCAGAATCCTAAATTGAAGAACAAAGTTGAATTAGGGTTTTCTTTTCCGCATCCATACCTTCTTCCCTCTAGGGATATACTTCATAGCGACGAGCTCCTTCGTCTCCTTGTTCCGCATCAGCCTCGCCACTCCAAAGTTTCCACAGCCAAGATCCTTCACCACCTCGTACTTGTCCATCTCGCCTCTCTATTCCTCTTTCGACTCAGCTTTGGATTTCTCCGACCGATCGTTATCCACCGCTTTTCCTCAGCATGACCGACTTGAGGGTTTATACAAGAAAGGAGCGAGCTTTCAGAAACTATAATGCTAATGAGAAGTAAAGCAATTGTCGAATCGAACTGAAAAGAGACAAAGAAACGTATTGATGATCGGGAAGAGCAAGAATGAGGAAAGTTCCTATATTTAATGAGGGAGCACGTCCGAGAGAGGGAAAGACAGAGATTAAGATCCGATCAAAGATGGATTCGTTCCTGAAACGTAATTCCCATTCAATCGGATAGCGGAATTGCAAGGATCGATTTGGGGGGCCGGCGATTGCAAACGGAATGAAGGGGATAAGGAAAGGAAGGTGCGTTTCAGGAAAATAGTACAAAGATGGAGACTTTGGTAGAAAACGACGAGTATTTGGGAAGTGCCGAACTGGCAAAATTTTGTTTCTTTTTCTTAATTTCAATTTCTCACGTGGGGCTTTCTCAAAAGCCACGAACAAAGATGCTGACAAGTGATAAGGGGATAATATTTTTCTTACTCTAAAATTAATAAATTAGATGGTTAGCTCAACATTTTTTTTTTATATATAATTAAATAAATTTTAATGAAATATTAATAGTGATGTAACTTATCTTATAAATGAATAAATTTAAATAATAACTCATTTGTTTATTTATTATATTGACTAAAATACTCATCCTATATTGTAATATGTTAGATATGAGTATTATGGTCAAATATTAATAGTGATATATCTTTTTATTATATTTAATAAAATAAATCATGTTAGATATGAATATTGTGGTCAAATTAAATAGATATGATAAAAATATGAAACTACTGAAAAAGAAAAAAATATGATAATATAATAAATTGTGTATTGTAATAAATATATTTTTATTTTATATTGTCCTTCAATTCAAATAAACTATTAGACAATACAACTAAAATACTATACAATATGACTAAATTATTAGACATTAAGAATAATAATAAATGTCTAATAGTTTAATAGTATTGCCTAACAAATTATTTATATTTGTATAAAAATTCAGGTATATTTTCTAATGGTTATTTTGGATAAATGTTCAGATTTTACTTTTATTTTTAAATTTTGCATTATTTTATTTGTATTATAATTTTACATAGTATATATTTGATATATTTAATAATTAGTATTTTTATTTTTATTAAATATCGCATAAATTGATTAGAAAGTTGATAAGGTTGTGTTTATGGGTGATCAAGAAGAGTGGTGAAATTATGTATATATACCTAATTGTGAAATTTTACATTTGCATATGTAAAAACCTTTAAACTATAATATAGTGAATTAACACGGTTTTATGAAAACTCAAAGTTTAACTGAAACATTAAAGGTTTGTTTGGGACTGCTGCAACTTTTTATTGATATAGTTATAAAGCTAATGTAAAAAAATAATAATAACTTTCTTTATTGTTGCTATAAAAGTAGCTTCCTAGTACAAAAATTTTTGGAATGTAGTGAAAAAGTAGTGGTCAAATAGAAACTCTGACTACAGTCTGAAAATCAAAGCAACAAGAAAATTGTCCCAAATGCAGCCTAAATCACAAGATGTATTGGATGGTGTAATTCTAACGAAGATTTAGGCTTCGTTGCGAAGACTTTCTTATTGTTTTTAAAGCAGCTTTTTAATACAAAAATTAAGAATTTTTAACTGAAAAGTTGTTTTAAGAAGCAGTAAGAAAGCCATCCCAAACAAAGCCTTAATGGATCTGTTATAATTGTATAACTTTTAAAATATTGTAATAAAGAAAATTAATGGATGTTAATACCCCCATCATTATCTAATATTGATTATGAGGTAAAAGTTAGATAAAATTCATAGAATCATTAATTTTAAGAATATGTTTTGTTGTTGGTTCTCATTATTAATATTTTTTATGTGCACCGCTTTCAATGTGTAATTGATTTAGGATTCATTTGGGATGACTTTCTTACTGCTTTTTAAAGTATATATCTAGTATAAAAAATTTAATTTTTAATCTAGAAAACTGTTTTAAGAAGTAGGAAGAAAAGCGTCCCAAACAAAGCCTTAGATGCTTTTAAATGTGATGAACAAACAAGATAGAAAGAAGATGAAGACGAAGCGACAGGAGAAATGTAAAGAGAATGAATTGTCTTAATTAATTTTGTACATCAGCAAGTCTACTATATATAAAGTAGGATGAGATGTCTATCTAATAAGATCATGCCACGTTTGCTGAGTAAAACTAATACATCTTTATTTATGTTTTGTGTGCTAATACGCCCCTGCAAACTGACAGGTGTTGAGTGACAGTCAGTTTGTTTCGCAGCTTGATGAATCTAGGTGTAAATAATGATTTGGTGAAGATGACTTTTGTTTGGTCAATTGTGTTGATCGGTAAGATACAAATATTGTTGTTTTGAATATGGTCTTGAATGAACTTCTGATCGATCTCAATGTGCTTTGTTCGCACATGGAAGACATAATTATTGGCTAAAGAAATTGCCGGTGTGTTGTCACAATGTATTTCGGTAGGTTGTTCACGAGTTATACCAAAGTCTTGAAGAAGTCGGCGAAGCCAAATGACGTCTGAGGTTAGAGCCGCTAACGCTATGTATTCGGACTCCGTTGATGATCGTGCAACTGTGTGTTTCTTTTTAACTGTCCAGGAGGTGATGGAGTTACCTAAGAATGAGTAGTAGCCGGATGTGGATTTCCTCAATACTGGATCTCCTGCCCATTCTGCATCGCAAAAGGATTGCAAGCAATATTAGATTTAGTTATTGGAATGCCATAATCTAAGTAAGGTACCTTTGATATAGCGAAGTAGACGTTTGAGTAGATATGTGTGTTGAGGAAGCAGCTGATGCATATGTTGAGACAGTTGATTAACGATGTAAGCTATATCCGGACGGGTTATAGTAAGATATTGTAAAGAACATGTCAACCGTCTGTAAAGCTTGGGGTTTGATAGAATCAAATCATTGGAGAAGGTAGACGGTAATTTAGTGCATGTGGGATTAGCCAATTGTTTGCATTCTATTAATTGAGCGGAGCAGAATAGACAATGCATACTTTTTCTAAGAGAGAAAATAAGAATTGTTTTCAGAATATATCTTAATGCCCAGAAAATCGTGAGCATGTCCGAGATTTTTCATGTTGAATTTCAAGCTAAGCTTTTCAATGATTGTAGATATGACTTCCTTACTGTTACCGATAATAAGTATATCGTCTATGCATATGAGAATGCAATTTTGTGTTTCGTTTTTACATAGGATAAGCAAAGAAGAATCTGCATTGCTGTGAGTAAAACCGATTGAAATCAAATATGAGGTGAAAGTTTTATACCATTGTCGTGGCGCTTGCTTTAAACCGTAGAGAGCCTTGTGAAGGTGACAAACATAAACATACTCTGGGTGTGCGGTGTCTTCGAAACCTTTTGGTTGGTTCATTTAAACAATTTCGGATAGATTACCGTGTAGGAATGCATTAGCCACGTCTAACTGATTTACTTGCCAATTGTTGTGAAGTGCTATTGAGAGCAAGATGCGAATGGTAGTTAGTTTTTGCGACGGGGCTGAATGTTTCAGTGTAGTCCAGCCCGTATTCTTGATTGTTTCCCTGAGCTACTAGTCTTGCCTTATGCTTTACAATTGTACCATTCGAATGAGTTTTAATTCTGTACGTCCATTTACAACCCAATATAGAGATGTTCTTTGGTGGAAGAACCAAACTCCAAGTACCTTGTTCTTGCAAAGCAAAGAACACCATAGACATTGCTTTTTAATAGCCTCGGCGAATGTGGTTGGAGCTGTATATGATTATATCAAGGTATTAGTATGAAAAAGATTTAAACGATTGGACGGTTTGAGATGGCCAGATTTTGATCGAGTGACCATGTGGTGTTGAGATTTAGTGGGAGCCGAGGTTGGTATGTCAGCCGAATTGGGTATGTCAACAGCAGGATTGGTATTGCGAGAATGTGGATTCTGCTGAGTGTTTTTGGTGTTGGAATCAAGATTCGCCACATATGGAAGAATGGAGGAGGAACTTGTTGAACACAGTGAGGCAAACAAATTTTGATCTGTGAGATTCCATTATGTAAATGAGGGATTCAGATTGGTGAGACCTTGTGAATCTTGGATCGTTTGAGAGGGAATGGGAGAGGAAGGATCGAGATACTTATCGAAAGCGTTTGCACGAAATTTTTTTAGTATTTGTGATTTCCAAACTAAGTAGCTTTCTAGGTTAAGCTGAATCAAAACCAGATTTTTGATGTTGGAGACGACAAACTTTAGGTTGGGGGAGATGGCAGTTTCTTCTTGAGACGCTGGCTCTGTGCTTTCACTTAGGTGCAAACTAGCTGAGTTCGCCATGATCAAGGTTTCCTCTCAACCTGCTCTGGATACCATGATGAACAAACAAGACAGAAAGAAGATGAAGACGAAGCGCACAAGAGAAATGTAAAGAGAATGAATTGTCTTAATTAATTTTGAACAGCAGCAAGTCTACTATATATATAGAGTAGGATGAGATGGCTAGCTAATAAGATCATGCCACATTGGCTGAGTAAAACTAATACATCTTTATTTATGTTTTATGTGCTAATAAAATGTTGGATTGTTGAGGGTTAGTTTAACAGTAAACATTTTCATCACCTTTCGGCCGATGTGAGAATTGTTAGCTTTTTGGACAGTATGTTTGTTTTTTAATTTGTGTTTATCTATGATGTTATGATGAATTATTTGATTAATTAATTTGATGTGAGGTAAGCAGGAGCTTACCATATGTTAGATTTAGATTTCGTTTGGGACATCTTTCGTACTGATTTTAAAAATAACTTTTTAGTACAAAAACTTCAAATTTAAGAAATCTTTGTACTTAAAAGTTGTTTTTGAAATTAAGAAGAAACTCATCCCAAACGAAGCCTTAGGGTTCGTTTGGGACGGCTTTTTTATTGCTTTCTAAAACGGAGTTTTAGTACAAAAATAAAAAAAATTGTACTAAAACTCCGTTTTAGAAAGCAATAAAAAAGCCGTCCCAAACGAAGCCTTAGTCTTCTTTTGAGACTTTTTTTAAAGCATCTTTATAATACAAAAAAAAAAATTTAATTAAAAAAAAATTAGTACTTAAAAGCTTTAGAAATCAATACGAAAGCTCTCCTAAATGAAACCTTTGAAAGTCTTATGATATAAAAAAATAATCAAGCTTATATAAATTTTTATGTTGAATAAATTTCAAATTGAAATTAATGAGTCATTTATGATTTGAATAGGGTGTCAAAATGTGGACGGATCGAATTCGAGTTTAACCTAAAATTGATGCGACCCAAATTTGGCCCATTTAATAAACATGTCAAAAAGAACAAGCCGAGCCTGACACATTTAGCAACTT